ATTGGCCCTCATCGTAGAACGAGTTCTGTTTCGATCTTCCGTCTGAGTATGAAACGACTTTTTGATTTATGGCTTCATTTTATCACATTGGTCAGGGTCAGTTTTTCTAAGGCTGTTTGACATCAAATCGTGAGTGATTGGCGTTAGGCTTCATAATGATAGTCTCTTCTCGGGGGATCCCACATTTCATTATCTTGTATTCCTGGCGATTTTTGCGAGATTATAAAGCTCCGATTTCTATTTCTTTTTTTTCCGGGGCTACATGTTAATAAATCTTTCTCTTGGTAGACAGCAGAAACGTCTTGCGTCAAGTTGAATTAACTATCACTGCATATATTTGGCAGGGTATATAAGTACATAAAAACTAAATTGCTCTGGCACCGCTCGGCGATTAAGAGGAGTCCTGAGGTTGCATATTCGGGTTTGTTACTTCGCCTTGGATACTGGCATCATTTTACCAACGGTGATGCCTCAGTGTCACTTACCCATCAAGGAGTTGCCTCACAGAGTAGTCAACCGAAGCGAAACTGGTAATACTTACGTTAGTTCGTTTCATGTTCTGGTGACGTGATGCTTTCGTAATTGCCGCGTTAACAACGAGCGAAATGTTCATCCAACCAAGTTAAACACCAACTATAAATAATATGGCTATTGTTTTGATCATTTCCTGATGGTGATTCAAGCACTTTATCGTTATGAAATTTTTTTTTCGTTTTTCCGTACTGTCCGTCATGTACTCAGGAGACATGTCAGTTCAAGTCATCCACGGAACAGTTTCGTTGTAAGATTAATAAGTTGTGATTTAATGACAGTGAATGTGACGGTTGTGATGATTTTATTAATTATCGTTACCATTGTCACAATGATCATGGTCATTTTACTGATAATATTTTCGACATCATTACCCTCGCCATCGTCACTGTCATGAAATTCGTTGTGATCACTGATCGTTGATGACAGTGACGATGACCATAGTGATGATTATGTTGATTATTGTTGCGACAGTTACACTGATTGCCATTATTATCGTGATGATTATGATCTACATCATTGTCATAACCCCAGTCGTCATTGTCATAAAACTATTATCATGACGATTATCACATTGACGATGACTATGGCTATGATAATATTGGTTATCGTTATCTTGATCATGATGATCACTGACATGGTGCCCAGATGAAATAACATGTAACGGTGCAGATTGAAGATAAATAAAGAATCTGAAGAATAAGTGTTGCAAGACTACGAACAAAGCTGTAATGGCTGGCCTGTTGGAAAGCCGTTGCGTGAATTATGCAATTCACCATATGATGTGGAGGCGGGACTTAATTGCTTGACTGCATTATGTCTGCGGTTACTTGGATTGGAGATTGAATTTTCAGTCGTTTCGGTGACGGACAGACGTTAACTCGTTTCCCATGGTGAAATCTCGTTGTTTTAGTTTCTTTCATGAATTCAACCCACTTTCGGCATTATCGATATGATTAGCCCAATTGCATTTGACAGTCGTTACTTGTTTAGCCTTCAACCGTCCTTCCGCGGTTCAGTCGGTCGGTCCCGATAGTCGGGGATACGCAGCGGACTCTACAACAGGTATGTGACTCTCGCTCTTTTTGTATGTTAATGTGTCAATTTTGAAATTTTTTGGTCCAAATTTATGCATTTCATCATTTACAGAAGCAGATTTGACTACCACAAATACATGCATACGATGTACGTGTTACTGCACAGTGTGAGAAGCTGTCCATACAGGAATGAACTGAAACTGTTTTCTGCCATTAACGCGATCCTACCGAAATATTGCTAGTCCTACCCCTATACATTGGTCTCAGCATTATTTCCTGCATGTTTAAGTTTATTCTGTATATTTCACGTACGCTGAGACCTAGACAACAGTAGGGTAAAATTCTAACAGTACCAGCCTGTAGTGAGAAGCAAATTATTTACAGTCCATTCCGGTCCGAAGGAATCGATTTGATCGATACTTTGGTCGGTTTTAGAATCTTTGGTCGACGCAGTTAGCAGCTCATAATATGTAAATGTAGTAAATGGAGATGAGCGGTCATCGCAAATATCAATCAGCTCGAAGGTTCACAAGGATGCTACGGATTATGATGGCAGACATCGACTTTGGATAATAACATATGGATCGACAGATAGACTGAATGATCCATCGTCCGTATAATCAAACAAAACCTGGCAAATATTGCCACCGTACTGTCTGTCATCTGAACAGAGGATGGCGTTTCAGGAGCCTGAAGGACGGAAGGTGGCGTAACGATTATTGCGGAAAACATTAGAGATTAAGTATTACCATCAAAATTGACATGGTTAAAATCTGTTGACATGTACGTTACGTAGCCTAGGGTCATCTATCTCAAACAATATGTAGTTTTCATTATCATATACATTAGTTTCATGTTGCTGTTCGTTGCGCCATGAATTTGGAGGAAAATTTGGAATTTGGAATTTGGAAATCAAAATGCTGTCTTGCAAATTGTTGCGCCGTACGTCAGAAATTCATTCATTACATTTACTTCGGTGTTAACAAGCATTTGGCGATACGCAAGAGAAATATCGAATTTTCTTTCCGCATAATCAGCTATAACAACCTTTCGAGCTTTCATCGTATAAACATAGTCATTTCTCCATGACTGAATTTCAAAACATTTGACACTGACTTTTTTCTCATGGATGCGTATAGAGCTGGCTATTTAAGGCCGCCTTAACTCGATAACCTTTGAATACCTTAAGTGCGTAAGCACATTTTGCGGTGTTTTCTGGCTATAACAAAGGCGTGCCATTGCAAATGATGTTTTATGGTTCAGTCATGTCTTTCGTAAGCAGAACGCGAACTGGATGTACAGATCAGGTTATATGGGATTAA